TTTACCTATAAATAACTTTTATAATTGAAAGTTTTTTTTATTACTTTCAAATAATTTGAAGTACTTTTTTACTAATATATAACATTTTACATTCTAGAAAGTGTAATATTTTTATTAATATTTAATTTAAAAAACTAAATATATATAAATATTTATACTTAAAAAATTTAAGTTAATATTTTTTTACTTATAAATAGTTTTTACAATTATAAGCTCGTTTTACTTTTAAATAACTTGAAGTGGTCTTTTATTTATAATTAACTTTTTACATTTTAGAAATAAAGAATAACTATTATGTAAAAAATTATTTAAAAAATATTATTACTAATATATGGTCAATAGTTGATAGAGTGAGAAAACAAAGATAGAGTACTGTGTGTCAGATTCAAAACATGGAAGCTGCAGGTAAAATAAAAAACGACGTCGATTCAGCTACACCAATTAAAAAAAAAATTACAGTGTGACAAAATTTATTTAAAAAAATATTACTACTAATAAAATTATAGCTATTAACTACCAACCATATCCTATAATTTTATTAGCAGTAATATTTTTTAAAATAATATTTTATCACACTGTAGTTTTTTTTTTAATTGGGGGAGCAGAAATGATGTCGTTTTCTATTTTACTTACAGCTTACATACTTTAAATTTGACATATTAATCTTTCTCCATTTTCTCACTCTATCAACTATCGACCATATCCTATAATTTTATTAGTAATAATAATTTTTTAAATAAATTTTTACATACAAGTTATTCTTTATTTCTAATATGTAAATAATTATTTATAACTAAAAATATCACTTCGAGTTATTTAAAAAAAAAAATTTATAATTGTAAAAGTTACTTATAAGTAAAAAAAATATTAACTTAAAATTTTTTAAGTGTAAATATTTAGATATATTTAGTTTTTAAATTAAATATTAATAAAAATATTACACTATCTAGGATATAAAAATTACTTATAAGTAAAAAAAGCACTTCAAGTTATTTAAACGTAATAAAAAAGTTTATAACTGTAAAAACTACTTATAGGTAAAAAAATATTAATCCCTCATTCTCTTATAATTGCAAAAGTTTCTTATATTTAGTTTTTTAAATTAAAATTTTAAATATATTTTGTTTTTTAAACTTAAAATTTTTTGATATATTGAGTTTTTTAAATTAAATATTAATAAAAATATTACACTATCTAAAATATAAAAAGTTACTTAAAAGTAAAAAAAATCACTTCAAATTATTTAAAAGTAATACAAAAACTTATAATTATAAAAGTCACATATTAATAAAAAAAATATTAATTTCAACATTTTTAAGTAAGTATTTAAATTTAATTTTTAAAAATTAAATATTGATAAAAAATTTACTATAAATAAATAAATAAATAAAAAACATATGCAGCATGCAATTCACTCCATGCAACTCAATGCATTTGCATGGAGTGATGACCAATCCGCATCACTCCGTGCACGGAGTCAACCTGTTTTATTTTTTTTAATTATAATAATTTTTTATTAATATTTAATTCAAAAATATTAAAGTTAATATTTTTTTTTATATATAAGTAGCTTTTACAATTATAAATTTTGTTATTACTTTTAAATAACTCGAGATGATTTTTTTTATGTATAAGTAACTTTTTACATTCTAGATAGTGCAATCTTTATATTAATATTTAATTTAAAAACAAAATATATTTAAATATTTATACTTTAAAAAAATTGAAATTAATATATTTTTACTTATAAGTAACTTTTGCAATCATAAGTTCATTTTGCTTTTAAATAATTTGAAGTGATTTTTTTAGTTATAAATAACTTTTTACATTTTAGAAATAAAGAATGACTTTTATATAAAAAAATATTAACACTAATAAAATGAAAACATTAAACCTCACATTCTTTCTTTTAAACTATGAAGAGATTTTTTTAAAATTAAATGTTTATTAATAAAAAATTACTATAAATAAAATTTTAAAAAAAATTTATTACCACTCCGTTCACAAAGTGGAATCAAAGTGCATGAAGTGAAATCACTCCGTGTACGGAGTGTTATCACTCTGTGCAAAAGGAGAAAACTCTCATTTTGAAAGCAGAAATTCTCTCCGTGGATGGAGAGATTTTCATTTTTAATTAATTAAATAATAATTTTATATTATTTATTTCATTTTTGTAACTTTCTTTTATTTTATTTGTTTAATTTGGTTTAATAAAATAATCTTTATACATTCTTTATGATTTGAATTAAATAATATTTATTTTTTGGATAATTAGCACAAAACGTCCTTACCTTTCTTCTTTGGCGGATTATACCATCACCTTTACCTTTTTTTTTTTTGCGCAAAATGTCATTCCGTCAACTCCCCGCTAAAATGCTCCGTTAAATCAAAGGGTAATTAGTACAAAAAATCCTTACTTTTCAATATTATTATGCACGTCCATCCTATTCAAATAAAAAAAAAAAAAAGAGATAATTATTTGCAATCATAATCCTAAATCTTTCAAAACATTACAGATAAATCATAAATTCTTCACCATCGCCACTTTCACAACTTTACCAAGCCACCCACTTTCACACCACCGCCACTTTCACAACCTCACCAAGCCACCGCCTATAGATCCATATAGCACCATCTTTCGGCCACAACACCTATCGGACTCCATCATTAGCAGCCTCGCCTCACTCTCCCCAGTATCCTGCTCCATAGTATTGATCACCAATTTGTCCGAAACAACAACATTTACGGTGGTGGAGTCCAGTGGGCATGATGGCCGAAAGGCGGTGTTATGTGGATTTATAGTTGGCAACTTGATATGTTGTGAAAGTGGTGGTGGTTGAGAATTTATGATTTTTTTATAATTTTTTAAAAATTTAAGGACTATGGTTGCAGTTGGTAATTCATCTTTTCTTTTTGTTTTATTTGAATATGAGAGTAAAATCATCATTTTATTGAAAAAATATTACCAAGCCACCCACTTTCACACCACCGCCACTTTCACAACCTCACCAAGCCACCGCCTATAGATCCATATAGCACCATCTTTCGGCTACAACACCTATCAGACTCCATCATTAGCAGCCTCGCCTCACTCTCCCAGTATCCTGCTCCATAGTATTGATCACCAATTTGTCCGAAACAACAACATTTACGGTGGTGGAGTCCAGTGGGCATGATGGTCGAAAGGCGGTGTTATGTGGATTTATAGTTGGCAACTTGATATGTTGTGAAAGTGGTGGTGGTTGAGAATTTATGATTTTTTTATAATTTTTTAAAAATTTAAGGACTATGGTTGCAGTTGGTAATTCATCTTTTCTTTTTGTTTTATTTGAATATGAGAGTAAAATCATCATTTTATTGAAAAAATAATGAAAATGACATTTTGGGCAATGAAAGGTGAAAGGTAGGTGCGAAAATGCTAAAAAATGAAAGATATGGACGTTTTGCACAATAAAATTGAAAGGTAAGGACATTTTGCACAATAATATTGAAAGGTAGGGACGTTTTGTGCTAATTACCTTTTGATTTAACGGAACATTTTTATGGAAATTTGACAAAATATCGTTTTGCGCAAAAAAAGGTAAAGGTGAGAGTGTAATCCTCCAAAAAACGAAAGGTAGAGACATTTTATACTAAGCCCCTGTTTGATTTTCATTACATTACATTACATTACATTCTATTTTTCTCTCTCCTATTTTCAACCACACAATCTTCCATAAAATAATATTACACGTAAATCGAAAATTTTTCTTTCTTTTTCAACCACTCATTTTTCAAAAAACACTATTCTATACATTAAATTTTCCCCGTAATGGGGGCCAAACAGGGGCTAATTATCTTTTTGCACAATAATATTGAAAAGTATGAACCTTTTATGCTAATTACCCTTTGATTTAATGAAGCTTTTTAACGAGGAGTTAACATAATGACGTTTTGCGCAAAAAAAAAGGTAAAAATGAGGATGTAATTCACCAAAAAATAAAAGGTAGAGATGTTTTCATAAAAAACATCGAAACATAAGGACGTTTTGTGCTAATTGCCCTTTATTTTTTCTTTAAATCGTTTTAATTTAATTCAAAAACTTTATAATTTTTCTTTCTATTTTTATCTACAATTAAAATTGAAAGGTAAGGACATTTTGCACAATAATATTGAAAGGTAGGGACGTTTTGTGCTAATTACCTTTTGATTTAACGGAATATTTTTATGGGAATTTGACAAAATATCGTTTTGCGCAAAAAAAAGTAAAGGTGAGAGTGTAATCCTCCAAAAAACGAAAGGTAGAGACATTTTATACTAATTACCTTTTTGCACAATAATATTGAAAAGTATGAACCTTTTATGCTAATTATCCTTTGATTTAATGAAGCTTTTTAACGAGGAGTTAACATAATGACGTTTTGCGCAAAGAAAAAGGTAAAAATGAGGATGTAATTTACCAAAAAATAAAAGGTAGAGATGTTTTCACAAAAAACATCGAAACATAAGGACGTTTTGTGCTAATTGCCCTTTATTTTTTCTTTAAATCGTTTTAATTTAATTCAAAAACTTTATAATTTTTCTTTCTATTTTTATCTACAATTTTTTTTTAAATAATCTTTATATTTAATTTTGTTTCTTTATTATATAATATATGGTATTGCCTTCAATCAAGTGAAGTAGTGTGTGAGAATGAAGAAATATTGCAGTGGAGATGACATCACAGTGAAATGACGTGTGAAAATAGTGAAATGGTGTGTGAAAATAATGCTATAGCGTTATTGAATTAAATAATTTACCATTGCGAAATCGATTTCAAACTGATTTCGTGTGAAAACCAATGTCACAAAAATGAACAGTAAACCTCACATTCTCTCTTTTAAGATAAGAAGGGATTTGCAAGTTTGTATAATTCATACCAAATTCATGTTCGTATTCTCTACCAAACCATGCAAATATTCTTATTCGAATGACATATTGAAATGCGAAAGAAACTAGCATCCGCCAAAAGACAAGAACACAAGCACAAAATGCAGAGTAAGAAAATATGATAAATTCATTTATTCAAATTTAGACATCAAGTTTACACGTGAAACAAAACTTTGGACTCATTCTTTATCGTATTTTATATTCTGCAAAAAGATTCACAATTTAATAATACGTATAGTGAATCTCATGCGAATCCATATTAGAGATTGTCACGAGGCAATATTTCCAGCAAATGCAAAGAATAAACTACGATCATATTATTACTAGAAACACCTCTGACCTCACCGACATTGATACATTCTCTCAAAAGGCATGGCAATCCTTACTGTAAATTTTCATTTGTCGGATTCCTATTTCAAATATCGTTGCCTCAACGTATCCAGATATCAAAACTTCCTGTAAATTGTTGATAGATTTTTTAGACAGCAAAAGGTGACAAGCTTGAAAAGATGCAAAAATACAGAGGAGTTACGCACGAGAAACTCACATTTAATTTCACGGAGATGCAAACCTTAATCGATCCTTGTTTCGAATCACAATTCGGTCTTTTGGAGATGAAGTTTTTGCTGCCCCTGCCTGCCTCATAAGTTCTGCAATATAAAAATGCATCAGATAAAAATGCATCAGAAGTCCTGAACAGGCACTTAAAAGTGCACCCTGTGACAACATTTATCGATCCATCAATCGATCACTGTTCATAACTAGAATTATTTTTTCATTAACACTGAAAAATTTTAGCAATAAATTAGAAAAGTAAAACTCATTTATACAAAAAGTTGAGGAGTCGTACGATATAAGAGCTCTCAAAGCAGGATTTCCAGCCCAAGCATAGAGCAGAAGTATTCGCTACAAATTTATTTTTCAGGCTGAAAGCAGACATGTTATGTAGCAATGCACTACAGACTTTAATACTGAAGTACCCAGGCAGAAAGTTTTCCTTTCTCTCCTATTGATGGGACAAGGAAAGAAAAGAAAAAAAAAAAAAAAAAAAGGGGGGGGGGGGGGGGGGGGGGGGGAATTCAATAATAAGAGCACAATATGCTACAAGTGACTGCAATTTCATTTAATTAAACAAAAACTTTAGATTTCAGACTTCCCAAATTTTACATATCAAGGGCATTTTTTCCAAACAAGGAGGAGTTAGCTGCTCAAGCGAACACATTTGCAAGCACTGGATATAAGAAATCAGAAAACACAACAGAATCACAGAAAAGTTGCAATTTAAAAATTGATGCAATCCACATATAGAAATTAAGAATTGTTTTTGGTTGTTGTAAGGTTTTATTATTGTACGGCAATTTTCATTTTTTCTTTAAGTTTACCTTATGGTAGTTTTTCAATGCCTTAGATCACTATTTTTATTATGGGAGTAAGATTTTCTTACTCTATTTCATTGTATATATAAGCCCACCCCAGTGATTTAATAAAATACAAAATTGAGTGTTCTCAATTATACGTCCATATTCTTGATATTCTGCATAGCATAATCAACTAGTCTTTAATGTCTAGCTTTCTATCATTCATAAGTGAATCAACATGAACTAGAAGGCTGTTAATAGGTTTCGTTGGTCTCCCGCTTCCGTGCACGCTATTCTACATAAAAAATTCTAATCATGTGCCACATAGAACTTGCCTCGTTTCCTCTCAAGCTCTTCAACTAGCTCTTCTTTCCACTTCTTTTCTCTCTCGAAGAAGCTAGCGCTACAAGCAAAAATTAACAATGTCAAGTTACAGAAGAAATGAAGATTTAAGTACAAATATATGTTTCAAAGCAAGCATGGGTAGTGTTCACAGACTGTGGAGTGAGAGGGTCACGCTGAGAATCAAGTTCTTTGTCTGGAGAAGCTTGATAATTTATATCTCCAATGTTTGATACACGCCTGGAACAACTACTGGGGCTTGGGCTATTCTCAACATCAAGAGCAGTCGAAAATCTTCTACTAACCATTCTACTTGGTGACCTGCTTTTCGGAGGCAAGTTGTTATTACTTGAAACATTTTCCTCCCCGACAGGACTTACAGGACCAGCAACATTCAAGGAATTGTAGAATTCTTCATATAAAGGTGTTTGCAGCTTCTTGAGCTCTAGAGCCTACAAGATTTAACATATCAAGTAATTATAAGATCTCATTTCCACAACATTCCTCAGATTAATAGATGCATCGGAGAACTTGTCAGCTGTCTCTAGATAACTATGGAATAAAATCTATTCATTTTAAATTTGTACCTTTTCGTCGAGAAATTCCCTAATCTTTGACTCAGTTGCTTCATCTTCATCTTCAGATGCTGGTCCTCTTGGAAATGTGAAGCCACAATCCACATCACCAGAAACATGGGATCTATTTCCAGTCTTGATAATTTGACTGGAAAGCAACTCATTTCCACTTCTCTTCAACTCTGGACTTTCATCAAACTTACACTGCCAATGATCACTAGGCTCACACATTGGGTTAAAGCTCTGAATACAGGAATAATACAACAATCTTCATTAGCTTCTGAGGTAGAAAACATCATAATATATGGTACAGAGAGACATTCGGAACTCTATCCAGACAACTTGCTACCTGATTATAATCACGAGAGAGGAGAGTTGAAGTGGATTTAGCTGGTGTACCAAAAACTAGATCATCACTGTCATCTATTAGACACATATCGTCATCCGAGTTCACAGGCTGCCAAAAGGACTGACTATCTGATAGCTGGTTAGGATACATAGTTGAGCATGTCACACCATCCGCAACATTTACATCCTTCAGACTATTGTAGGTCATCTTTGTCTCTACATTCATTCTGCAAAATGAAAAGAAACCCCAGGAATCAAAATTGATTCCATTGACATCTATAAGAAATACAAACCCTTTGCAAGAAAAATGCTTACGACTTCTCAAGGTCAACTCCAAGTGCAGCCATTCGCATTCCAGAGCTGCCCTGCTGACCCAGATAAGTTGATATTACCAAGACAATAGTGTCAATAAAGCTATAAACATAATCCAAGAAACAAACATATGCTTACCAGAGGTGAAGGGCGACATAGAAGACGAGATTCCTGACGTTCCCCAGTAACAAATGGATGCTGCAGATGACAATCAAAGAGAATAAAAATGCAGTTAATAGAAACTTCATGGCATTATGCTTCAAGTATTGCAACGCCAAGAACTCTTGCACCACAGCATAAAGAGCAAAGATGTCTCCCTATTTGAGTCGTATGTGTAGCGGTCACTCTTAGAAAGTAAACTTGCAGATCAACATTACCTTTAATAAATCTGATGCAGTAGGCCTCAGGTCTGGTTCCCTGCCACAATTAAGTGAAGAGTGAAGAAAAAAAAATGAGGGAAGAAAATCATGCAGAAGGATTCAACAGTCGAATTTTTTCTAGCACACGATGACTACAACAAAAATATCCCATTAAAGTATTTCGAAGGGATAAAATGCTAAATAGGAAGAAGAAACAAGAAAATATAAATCAAGAACATACTTCTGTAAACATTTCAGTAAGAAATCCTGTGCCTCAGCAGAAAGATGCTCAGGTATCGGTGGATGAGATTTGGTTGTCCCTATGTAAAAAAGAGCAGCAACCTAAAAATGACAAAACTGTTAGAGAATTGAGTAACTGATAACTTGTAAACTTAAGTGAACCTTAAAAACAGTAGATTCACAACTAAATGAAAAAAAATTACTTGCATACCTCCTGATACTGCTGGCTCCATGGAGCTTTTCCAGTAGCCATCTCAATGACAGTGCATCCAACACTCCATATATCAGCAGAACTGAAGATTTACATTAAAAATTTAAATACAGACTGGGATAAGCACTAAGTTGAAATATTATGAAAAGAAATGGAAGAATGTGATTCTACAGATCAAAAGAAAAATGTACTTGCGTAGCCTACTGCCTACTAAAGATGATAGGAACAACATTTCCTAGCTATACATAGGTCTAATTTTTATGAGACTTTTACTTAGAACAAGTTTCCTGGCTAAAATAGTCATATATTCCTCAAAATCATATCTTTTATGACTGTCAAATTACATTTTCCCCCATAATCAAGCCATCTGATTGAAATAATTTTCCCATCATCTTAATCTCCATATAGCTAATAGTTTTCCCGTTTATAAAGAGTGGCTTTAAACTTATTTGTTTCCCTGTAATAATTGGAAAATGGTGATCTTTCATGTTATGATGGAAGGGAAAGATGACCATTAAATGGTTTTATCAAATCTTATATCATAAAACAGAAAGAAGAAGAAGGAAGTTAAAAACATTATCTAAGTTCACCTAGTGTTTTATCAAGATGGGTACACATGATGAAATCATGAACGTATGACACTAACCAAAATAGCCACCAAATATATCATTGATGCTACCTTTCACATTGACAAGATGATATTTACTCAAGGATGCGAAAGGAAACTACTTCAAGTCGATATATAAATACTTATATATCTCATAGATGAGATCATTAGCCCCTGTTTGTTTCCCATTATTTACCCATTGAAATGAAAAATATGACCGTTATCCATCACATCAAACTACTATATTTGACTTTTTATCTCTTGTGTGGGGAACGGTTATATTTTTTATTCTCATTTTTACATTAATGTGTACCAAACGGGGCCTTAATAATAACAAGATGAGATTTACTTAAGCATACAGAAGAAAATTAGTTCAAGTCTCTGGTATAAGACCACAATCATTCATATCCACTACATAGAACTATAAAAGGAAAAAAGAAAATAAATAGATAGATGGAGGCATAAAAATTTCTGATCTTTTAAGCCATCTTGACTTGTGCTACTAGTGTGAATATTTCAGTATCATCATGGCATTACAAAATAACAGACTACAGATGTGGGAGGAAAGCTTCTTTCTTTAACCAAATAGATATAGATAAATAAAGATGTGTGGCTTTACTCACTAGCTATGACCACTCTGGACAATAACTTCAGGAGCCATCCAATATGGAGTACCCTTCATGGATTTGGCGCCGGTTACAGTAGCCTGAAATACCATTCAGATCCTAGTTATGATAGGTTGTTCAGCCAAAGGAAAACTGAATGTAGTAGACAAAAACATACCAGTGCTTCAACTTTCTTGGATGCACCAAAGTCAGCAAGCTTAATGCACCCCTTATTATCCACAAGAATGTTTGCTCCCTAATAAGAATGCATACTACCACATTCAAAGAGTTGTCGAGCATGTAATGCAACTTTAAAACAAACATTTTGAAATAAAGGGAAGTACCTTAATGTCCCGGTGCATAATTTTATATTTGTGCAGGTATTCAAGTCCCAACAAGAGTTGTTTTGTATACATTCTAATGACCTGGATTGAAAGGAAAAAATCAAAGGAAGGTTACTAATGTATGGTTTAAGAACAGATGGTGCAAACCAGCTGCTCCGCATGCATTTATGTAACCAACTTACAGGACAGAATGCCTCAAGAATTTCAACGTAATAACAACTAATAAGCCAACACATTAAACTGGCTCAAGAATATCAACATAATACCAACTAACAAGCCAAGACATAAAACTTGTAAGCACATAATTATTTCCCAACTAGCTCATTAGGTGGTATGATGATATCCGAGGTGGACATTTATAAATTTCAAGTTTCAACCGACTAGTTTATATTTTTGGTAGGGATTTTGAGAATTGATTTTTTGACCGTTAGAAGAAAAGTGGGGTCCACATGTGAGAGAAGAAGACAAAAATTACGGCTTGAATAGTAAAATAACGATCAAAAAATCAATTTTTTGGGGCAAAAAATCTGGGGTATATACACTGAAGAACGGTTGCAAAAGGATTAGGTAGATATCTCAATTTTATAACAATTTTCATTTACACATGTGGCTACCACTTACAGATTCTGGGAAAGACCCAAATTTTCCCAGGAGCGATGAAATGGATCCACCTGGAACAAATTCCAATAATATATGCAGCGAATCCTCTTCTCTTGCAGTTCCCAAGTATCTCTGAGAAACAAGACAAATACATTCTAATTAGAGATTAGATAAATGACCCATCCTTCCATCATCAACCAACAAATAGTTTTACTCACCACAATGTTTGGATGTGAAAGATTTTTTAAAAGATTTACTTCTTTCTCAAGCTCCAAAAGTTGATCCTAGCATTTTCAATACACAAAGGAGTGTGTCAAATTCCTAGAGTGCTGTTCAAGCTTCTGATGAACACCATAAATGAAGCGTAAACTAATTATAAAAAATCAGCCGAGTCCAGTGGATGTACTTGTGCTTTCTTCGAGGCACTATTTGCCCCAATTGCTACCTGCATACAATCAATGCAACAAACTTACATCATCCAAAACCCTTCAAAATAAATTAAAACACCGTTCAACACTTCAAATTCAACTAATAACTATTAACCTCTTTGACAGCGAGTAATTCACCCGAATCAAGATTCATCCCCATGTAAACTCTCCCAAATGCCCCGCACCCAATCATCTCACCTTTCCTCCACCGGATCGACGACTCCTTCCTTTTCACCGCTCCACTCGTCCCCACTGCCTCCTTCTCCTTCGCCACTCTAGCCAACGGAATCATCTCCTCTTTCATCTTCTTCAACGGCGCCTCCTCTTCCATGGTTTCCTCCATCGGCGGCAATGCCTCATCTTCCATCATTGGAATCGGGTACTCCTCCTTCATATAATTCCTTGAAGGTGGCGTCTCAGCCTTTGGAATTGGCGGCAATGCGTGAACCGGCGGCTTATTAAAGAGTCCAATTCGAGATTTTCTGATACTTGACCCGATTTTCTCAACAAATCCTCCGATGCCAACGGTTTCTTCGCCGGATGGTTTGAATGCCAGAGACCGACGGACGGAGCCGATCAAGTCCTGCATTGGATAGGAGTCTAAACGCACCTTACAGAAAATTTGCGGGGGGTAAAAGTAAAAGTTTTTAGAGAGAGAAAATCAAGGGACGGAGAGACTGAGAGACTGAAGCGACAGAAGTAGGAGCGGCGATCTGAAGTTCGAAAATAAAATGATGAAAGAATTTTCAATTTCGTCCTTAAATTTGTTATAATTGTATTTTGATCCCTGAAATTTTGAAAGCATTGGGGAAAATAGCCGTTAGGGTATGAACACGACAAAAATGAGACGAATATTCAGAATCTATCAAAAACGCCGTTCCACATGGGCCGAGCCACAAGGAGCAGTTTAATAGCCCAAAAAATTAGTAAATGCTAATTATTATTATTTTTAAACAAAATATTATCCCATGCTTATAGACTAATAATTTAAGTAAATTATAATTAAAACATTGACTTTAAAAAAAGTATTTTCATAGTATAAGATGATGTTAAATTAATTTGTCAAAAATAAATCAATTCAGTGATTTCTCATAAAAATCCAAATCTTCAATTATTATTATAAGGAAAGTAATTTCCAATTAGTTAAACTTCTTAACTCAATCTCTAGGAATCGAAAAATGCCCTGCGCCCGCTCTAAACCCGATTCGACTCTAATCATTTTGTTTTTATATTTTTAAATTAAATTAGATTAGATTTATAAAAGATAGAGAAACAGAGCAAGAAATATGGATATTTTGATCACGATCTCTCCTCGTTCCATCTCCACAAAATTATTAATGGAAAGGGCTCCTTCGATGCCATCTCTATTAGTCTCACTCATTTAAATCAATAGCTTGTAAAAATAGGCATGAAATTGTAATTTTCTCTATAGTTCTACTACTTTAGTTTGATTTTCAAATAAAAGTAGACATCATGTGTGCATAGTAATTTAACTTTATTTTTCATTAGTAAAAGTAGAAAGTAATTACGAAGAATGCAACTTCACCAAAACATATAATTTGTGTATTTCCAGCATCTCTATCTCAAAGACGACACTACACTCTGATTATCCTAAGAGCATTTCAAAATTTGCAATCTATTGGACGTTTAAATAGATGAATTTTTAGTTGGTATGCCATTGATATATGATGAATAGAATATCCGTATAAATATGAGATCCAAGTGATTCATCTATTTTCGAATATTTCCATCTACGTGTTTTATAAATATTAAAATAATAATAATGGAATAGATCAGAAGAGAGGAGAAAGAAAATCGATATTCGAAAAATAGATGCATAATCAATCAAATTGCTGAGTGAACATTTCTAATAGAGCATTCAAATCGACTTCCATCTAGATAGTCTATTGTTTGTTTGTCGTGTCAACTTGATGAAATCCATGTTGCTTGCTTGGAGAATTTTTACTTTAAACACTATTTTTATGTTTGCTTGTGTATAATTTGTTTAAACGATCCACTATTGTATTAGAGATGCTGTCATTGAAACCAAATTTGCTCCACCAAACGCTTCTCTCAAAGAACTAAAATAGTTGTTCTTCTCGTTAAGTTGACACGACTTTCTTTTGAAGGTGTGCAATTTGTGCTTTTACTTGATATAGTTCAATTCCAATTGACTTTTAATGGTTGCACCATGATTACCTAGCCACTCGACTCATTTTAAAATCACCCTCCTTTGTCGTGCGTACCAGATAAGTTCAATTCAAATATCATGAAAGTCGTACCAAATATATTTTTATACGGGAATCATGAAAATGAAACCATTGTATCCATGTGAAAAAAGGAATATATTTAACGGATTCTTTGTTTCAAAAATAAATTTTAATGTGTGGGTAAATTTTCTTATTTCACTTTCGTGCTATCTATTTTAAGATAAAATTGTTGATTATTTTAAATATAATGTCAATTCATGTAATTTTATATAAGTTATTGGTTTATTTGAGAAGATAATAATAAAAATTTGAAATTCAATCAAAATTTAGCTTCTGTCTCTCAACTTTTTAATCACATATTTCATAAAATTTTATTAAAATCTAAAAATTTTATTTTAATCTCTATCGAAGGGTATCTTAATTTTATATTTAGAATCGAGATATTAGTTAGAACTAATAAGACGATTCGCTCCAATTCAACCAAAATATAGAAAGGGGAAAATTCATATATATAGGATTAAGTATGACATATTTTAAAACTCTGAAACAAGGTTTAAAATTACTAAAATCAATTGCTTTTAAAAAATTATTTATAAAATAATTAACTAAACATATATCTTATCAATTAAATATATTTAATGTCACTATTCTATACAATTTGGTCACAAATTATTGAATTTGTTACACTCATAAATTATCATTTCATATTGGGCCATCTTATTGGACCTGGGCGAGGCCCATTGGAGTTCGGCCTCAAAGCCGAGGCTCTAAAGAGGTTAGACGAAGCACCATCGAGGCTCTAAGAAGTCCAACCGAGGTGCCTATTATTATGCTTATAAAGTCACCTACTTATTGGGCTCGGACTTAGGCCCACTAACCCGTTTGACCCATTCCACTCACATTTCTCTATATAAATGAATTCATTCACACAATTAAGGTAAGTCTCAACATTCTAGCCAAATCTCCCCATCTCCATACTACTACACTCTATTTATTTATCTTCATCCTACCATTGACTTAAGCATTGGAGTGCAAACCGTCGTCAGACCTTTTTCTCGTTCGGCCACATTTGCCTCTTGATAGGGTACTACATGTGTAGGTTTGGAGGGGACGAGGTCGGACATCTGTTGGTGCCATTTTTGGAGGTCAACAGATTGGCGCAATCTATGGGAAGCTTGGAACAACAAATCACGAGAATCCCGCGAAAAAGGAAAAGAATCTAAAAAGTTTCCCAAGAAAATATCAAAAAGCCTTTGAACAAATAGTGACATTCTTGGAAAAAAGCAACACAAGGCCTAACCGAGGTGTTGAAAGATGCAACTCCAAATAAACTCTCCAAAAATCCTTGAATAAAGGAAAACAACTCCAAAAACAGAGCCAAAGAGAGGCTATCCGTAGAAAAGGGACAGCCATGAGTTCGACAAAGAAAGAAATCGCACCAATATAAACTGAAGAATGCTTTAACAAGGAGACATCCTCACAAAGTGCCCCAATAATCTAGGAGCTGCTACCAGCCACTCCCGCGGTTCATCACTAAAGAAGTGGCTGAGGAGCAGGTCCAGGCTAACAGCAAGGCTCACCAGAGAATTGGCCGCTGTCACTGCAAACATGAGAACCATCTCCCAGCAAAACGCTGTAATGCGAAAACGACTGGAGCACATGCAAGGTCAATTGGCCAACTCCTCACAAAATGAGGAGGTTGTTCCACTATAAAGAGAGATGGATGTGGACATGGTCACCGACTACATCACCAGTCAAATAATTGAGGAGATTGTCGTTCCATTAGAATGCAGTAGGGCTAACATGCCAAAGAGACAGGCCAGTGTCTTCGATAGGCTTGGTCCTACAAGAAACAGACAGAACCAACCCTTCATTTCGCTCGCTTAGGCCAAATGCCCTCCTATCTCCTTGAGCTGGCCACATCTATTCAACTCTTCGCCAAAGGGAAATCAGCATGGACAACCTCAACTGGGAACCACAGTTGAGCTCGCCCATAGATACATGCATCCCTTGCCTAGGAATAGGCGTGAAAGACAAACTGCACTAGCTTGGATGCGGGACAACCAAGATTGATCACGAGAGGAGAAAAGTATAAGCCTAAGAAGATGTCCCCCTAAAAAACATAACAACCGATCATCCCAGGCGAAGTCCTCTCCCAAAAAGAGGTGTTAAGGCATATAACTATCAGGCCGGACTTCACGATCCCAACAAACATGAGCTGACCTCCGTAGCAGATCAGTAAACTAAGGGCATAAACCCCATAAAAAATGATTTGCTGTCTTCCCCATCCCATCCAAAAGATATAGTCGGGAGATAGAAGTCTTAAGAATTACCCTCATGAGAAAGACAAAAGGCCTCGTCTGAAAGAATGAGAGTCAATTTTGGTCATCTTAAACTAGCTCCTCTTCCCAAAAGAGGCTCTAAGGCATATAACTGCCGAGACGAGCACTATAATGTCAGTCACTAAGAACTAACCCCTCAACAACAGCGACAGAAAAGCGTAATCTATTTTCTTCTCCAGTCAGAGTAGCTCCGGCATAAGCATCATAGAATTATATTACCTAATGAAGCTTTGGCTCAAAAGGTGAAGGACGATCCTCCTATTTTGGGGCTAAAAACTTCAACCCCATCCAAAAAAGAGAATCAGAATGGGTTAAAGAGGACATATCCCTACCCTATGTATAGCCTCGAACTAAGCCATGAAAAAGAAGTCTGTTCAAAGAAGAAGTAAAGATGAGACCACGTCAGAAAATGATAAGGGAAGACCCCACATAGAACTACTCCCAAAATGTGCTAATTGGGAAGGAGGACTATGCACTAGCCTTCAGCACAGCCTCGCAAAATTGAAAGATACACACACAAGCTAAAGGGTTTCGAAAAATAAGGGCCTCAGCTTCCTTCATAATGTATTTGAAGTAGGCAGCTTCGGCACGCAACTTCAATTCCTTCAACAAAAACTTTATTCGACATCTACTATAGATACTTATGCAAATATTTATTAAGTTATCTCGCTATCAGATCCTCGTTGTTTCAACATCTACATTTGAATTTGGGATTCCTGATAGCTTGTATATAACGTTGAGGCTTGTGTACTTCACAACCCTTCTTACTAGTGCCAGCATACGTGTCATTTTACACTGTTTTCAGACGTGTGACATGATATGGTCTAGTCCACACCATGTAGAAGACGTTGTTGAAGCTTCATAGAAAAAAATAGCCCAAAGTGCATCAACCCATAGAGACACTTCAGAATATGAGCTCAAGAGCAAATGTCAACGAATTTCAGCCCATGAAGAGGCACCTCGGTGAAAGAGGCTGAAGCCTGAAGGAGTCCACCTCAGAATTAAAAATTAGCCCGAATGATAGAACAACATAAAGGGTTGGGCCCTATAAGGCCAACCTTCGTGAAAAGGTACAAACTTGCTTATAATAGGATAAAGAACAAAAAAGGGAGGACTAAAACGGGGCACGACCCTTTCAAAAAACCCCCAACTTGACA